GGGGCGTGAGCCAAAAAGATTATAAGGTCGATAAATTTGTACAAAATAATACAGTGATTAATACAGTGATTAATTCAGTGATACAGTGATCAGATACAGAGGAGTGGGATAACACAGGCTCCCTTATTTCTCTAAGCTTGTCTCGTGTTGGGCTTGATCCTTGGTTCTCCTGCCTCTGACTATAGTCAGGTCCTTCTGAGCGCGATGCCCATCTGCTCAAAGCCCAGAAACGTGGGTCAGCTTCTCTGGAGGCACCAGCAATCAATTCAGCTGAAACTTTTTAATATTTACCCAGTGGATGTAGCTGCTGGGGTAAATGTGAAGTGCTTCCTGTGTACTGGGGCGGGGGGAGGGGGGGTAGGAGATTGGCATGTACTCGGGGGTAGCAGCTGATGCTTCTGGTCCATTAGCAGCTGATAGATGACAATCTGGCATCGCTGGAACACCCTGTAAGTGCAGAATGCTAAGTCCATGCAGTCTGTTAGAGATAGATGCTGCTTCAGGTATCTGGGTGATTTAAAGTGACAGGCTTGAATTGTTCTTCTATAAAAACGTTAATTTTCAGCCAACTCAGACCACCTGCTTTTTACCCCAACCCAGAAAGAATGTTCATTAAAAGAACAGAAGCAATCATCTTCTGCATCTCATTACATTAAAGTCTTATGTAGCTGCATTCGGTGTAAGGTGTACTGAAATCCGGGATCTGCAAGTAAAAGTGCCACAGCGCCCCCTTCAGGTAGAGAGATGCCAGTGCTTGTGTTGACAATTTTTTTTTTTGTCATTAAGGAGTGATTAATATTCGGCAGTATGGTTGATGACTGACAACTTATGATAATCCCATCCATCCATTATTAGCTAATAGTACAGTCTGCCCAGTCGAGCTCCTGCCTCCGTCCCTCTCTCATTGTAACAGCGTGGATGCCCCGTGTCTTTCAGACGTGTGTAACAGCACCGACCTTCCAGAAGTGGAGATCATCAGCCTTCTGGAAGAGCAGCTGCCCCACTACCGGCTGAGGGCCGACACCATCTACGGCTATGAGCACGATGATTGGCTGCACACGCCGCTCATCTCGGCCGACGTCAGCTTCGACCTCACCACCGAGCAGATAGAGGAGACGCTCAAGTACTTCCGTGAGTGCCCCCCCCAACTCCCGACGCTGTGAAGCTGCTCGGTGACACTGAGGGACATGAATGTTTATTCGGAAATGTCATATCGTATATCAGATCCTTCAGATTCTCAAGATATTCACTATTACTCTAAAGTTATAACCTTTTTACAGTAAATAAATTTGTTATGTACAAAACCAACACCTCCACATGTTAAAGTAAAAATAGAGGAATTAAATGGATAATGAATAAGAAACCAACCAGAAATGTGTCCTCAGTATATATCCTCCTGAGACCCAAGGAAAAAAGTGTCCTTCAATTTTAGGATATTTGTCTTTGGAGGAAATAAGACATCTTACAATTTAGATTTTTAATTTGACAGCATGTCCTCTTTAGTATACAACAAGAATAAATATGTTTCCTTACATCAGTGAAAAGATACAGTAGATGCTAAAATAAAATATCCACTACAATGGACATAAATGAATGGGTGGAGTCTCAGGAGGATATATCCTCATTATTCCAGTCAAGTTCCCAGGCAGATTCCAGGTTGATCTAGTTTAGTGTGGATCACAGAACCTTAAAATAAGTCGTGGCAGGTTAGAGCTGGTTAGCTGCACTGCGAATGGTCAAACCCAGCAGGCATGAGCCGTTTTATTCTGTGCTGGGTCTCAAAGCCGAAAACCTCATAGCTTTGATCTGAGCTGAAGACAGAGGCAGTCTCCATGACAACCAACATTATAGAAAGTGGCACTGTCTGTGATCTCCAGAGAGAGTCATGTGGGTTAGGGGCGTGGTCATGAAGCCTCCCCATGATTGGTTCCCCAGTGATGGCCATCCCATGTCGTCCAATCCCAGAGGCTGTCACAGGGGGTTTATGCCCACGCTTGCCTCTGATGGGGTTTGAGGTTTGGCATATGCATTCAACTGTGTTCCCTTTGATGCCTTGGAAATAAAAATATTCATTTAATTGATTTCTCCCAAAAAAAATGTATGGATTAAGAGTCTAATGTGTTTAAAAATGGTTCCACACATGAAAGCTTATTTGATCTCTCTCACACCGACAGTACAGTATGGTTCGCTTTGTTCTGTTCTTTCTAATTTATCCTGAAAAGTGCTCTGTAATGTGATGAGATGAAGCTTTAATTGTGCTTTGATGTTAACCAGTATTTCTGTTTATGCCAGTAGTTCTCAGACCGGGTCTAGGGACGAACTGTTATCCTGGCTTAATTAATGAACTGGACTGTTATGATATTATCGGGGCAATATAGAGCTGTCAATTAGCCTATTTCATGTCTTTGGTAAACCACACAACTCAGGGAGAGCATGCTGGATGCCCAGACCTGGAGCTGTGAGGTCTCAGTGCTGCCCCCTGTTGCCTCTCAGCTGCCAGGTCACCCATATTAAGAGCCAGTAAAAAATGTACCTCGAAAATGGCCTGGAATTTATTAATTTAGAATCAGGTCTATATAGTTCACAGGTTACTGTAAAAAGATGCCCGATTTATATCAAATGCTAAGGAATCAGATGTCAGTAACTGCAGTTGCAGTGAAATACAACTGTAGTGAAAGTAAAATGTACCTGGTTTTACAAGTACAAATCAAAAGTAAAAGAACATTTAGATCTGTTGATCTTACAAAAAACAACAGGTTTGAATTCAGCATTGTAAGTTACAGTGCAGCACAATACGGAAAACTAAGAGAGAGGTAAGGAGCATGCACTGATTACAGTGCGTAAGGAGCATGCACTGATTACAGTGCGTAAGGAGCCACGCCCACCATATGACATATGAGAACCCGAGTGCAGCCATGTGGCTGGTAATACCTCAGCAGTCCAAATGGACCAGTGTGTGTTTTTTTCCAGTGGCTGGGGTGCCAATCCTGCCACCAACCCCCAAATTTTCGGAGGACTTGCATGCAGGGCTGGATGTAGATTAACGCCATACCCAGGACAAAGCAACTGCAGGTTAAGGGCCTTACTCAAGGGCCCAGTGGAGTAGAATCACTCTGGGCATTCATGGGATTTGAACCAGCAACCTTCCACTTGCTCACACAGATCCCTAGGCTCAGAACCACCACTCTGCCTGTAACAGAAAAGGAAAACTGAGTTGCAAGAAAATTAGTAGATTTTTTAAATTCACAAAATAAGATGTTTGCAGGTAACTTGGTTTCAGTTGGATGCCCTTGCAGTAGATTTACGGTACTTTACACCCTTACATGTTGGGATTAATAACAGTAAGGACTGAGACTTTTGTGGCGTTTGTACTCTCCTGTCAGTGTGGTAGCATATTTTTCCACTAGGTGGTGCTGTTCCCTCACATGTCAAAGGCAACTGGCTCAACTCTGACCCCCGTTAATAGTGCAGTTCAGTCACTGTCTGCATCAGGAGTGCAGCCATCCGCGGCCGGCATGCGGAGTGACATAAGCTGAAGTGATCGTGGTCCCTGTGTGGTTTCTGCTTACAGTGCTATGTGCTGACAGAGTGAGCCAGATGACCAAGACCTACAGTGACATCGATGCAGTCACACGTCTGCTGGAAGAGGTGGGGGGGCATGCTGTGCTTGCAGACTGTATCGTCACTGTGCTGTGTCTATCCGAGAAGCCCAGCCATAATGGGATCTGCATGCTCATATCTTTCTTTAATCTGCATGTAGCCTGTATGTATGATCAGGTTAAATTCATAATAAAATAGACCACAAGGGGGCTCTAAATTAGCTTGTGTCCAGCATAATCAATGGCCCTGTGATGGGAGAAATGAGCATGTTAGATTTCCAGTGGGTGTGGTTATCAAGTGCTGTCACCCTCTGCCTACTTTAACCCCTCGGTGACTGATGATGTAACTGATGGGAACTGATTCATCTCGTCAGACTTACTTGGGGTTTTCAAAGCCGTGTTCCTGGGCTTGCCATTGGCCCTTTAAACCGAAGCCTTGTCCTGTACCTCCACCCCCCCACCCCCCCAGAGGGAGCGGGATTTGGAGCTGGCCGCACGCATCGGCCAGTCGCTGCTGAAGAAGAACAGGAATCTCATCCAGCACAACGAGTACCTGGAGGAGCAAGTGGGGCGAATCCAGGACGAGGTGAGGGATGGGCGGAGCTTATTCGGAGGGGCCTGGGTATTGGGTGGGTTTTTTGGGAGGGGGCTGGGGGGGTGAGTCGGGTTTCACGGGAGGGGCTTGATACGTGGGTGGGTCTTCCTGGGAGGGACGTGGTGCTTGAGTTGGGTTTTGTGGGAGAGTCATGGTGCTTGGGTGGGGGTTGTGGGTGGGGCCCAAATCGTGGGTGGGGTTTCATGCAGTCATCGTGCCTCTCACTGCTTTCTCACCCTGGAGGTCTTTCAACTGCACCACGAACTGAGCATGAAGGACGAGCTGCTCCGCTTCTACACCAGCGTCGCTGATGACAGCGAGGGGGACTCGTCCGGCTCCACACCGTGAGCGCCCCCTATCTGTCCCCTACACCTTCTGGCTGCCGCCCCTCCTGTCTTTACTTTGGTCAGCTGTCCTTATTCCTGTTTTCATCTCATTCCTACATCCCCTGCCACCTTCATAGTGACTACCTACTTGTCTTTGTCACCTGTCACCTCCATTGTGGACATTTACGCGTCCCTGCCAGTAATAATTTTCATTGGTTCAATGAGAACTGGATGACCTTTGACCGTCCAGCATCATTCCTTGATTTTGGGGGTGTATTTTC